CTGGCTGAGGGCAGGATTCTCTTAAGTCCTTGGTCTACTTCCTACACTGAGGAACTCAGCGAGCCGAAGCACAATTCTTCCAGCCAGGGCCACCCTAACACATATACATGATGTTTTATCGTGTCAATGCAATGCGACAAAATTCAACTCTGGAAACTTCCAATAAACTCAAAAGTAGTTTTTTTTTTCCTTAACAACATCTTTTGCAAACTGTGTGTGACCTAAATTGAGAACCAGATGTTCTGCTTTTGTCTTTTTTCTCCCCTTTCCAAAGTGCCTATTTCTGCTTGTCTATTCTTCTGCTCTAATACTACCACCTTTCCCTGACAAAGTCTAGGCACTGTAAGTATCCCCACACCTTTCTTCTGATCACTGTAACTAATTCAACTGAATAACTTACAGTGGAGCAACCACAGCTAAGTTAACTCAATGCTTACTTTATTGAAAGAAGGTGCAGACACCACCAGACTGGGGGTGCCTGATATCCCCAAGGATGACAGATGTTCTGCAAAGGTTTTCAACTGCACTGCAATCTCTGGGCACATGTATTTGATATTTAGGGAAGAGTGACTTCAGTGGCCTATCTGGAATTGCTAGAGCAGCCACCCATTAGCACATGGTACAGTTTGCAGAGAAGAAACATGGCTTATTATACAGAAACCACTTCACCAGCATTAGAGTGAAGTCAATCAACTCACATGTATAACACCAACAGGTGGTTGCTACATATAACTCTACCTCTTGGTATGCTATTAGTTAAAAAGAAATTGTATATCTCTTCATTGCCACATAAATTAATATACTTAAATTTATGAAGTTTTTAAAGACACATAATCTACTCATCAACTTTTTTTTCTGGGTCATTTTTTTAACTGAAGGCCATCATACCTGAAATTTTATTTCACACAATCACAGAATATGCCAAGTTGGAAGGGAACCATCCCCAACAGTCACACAGTTTGAAAATATTGTTCAAATGTTTCTTGAACTCTGTCAGGCTTGATGCTGTGACCACTTTTCTGGGGAAGTGGTCCAGTGTCTAGCACTCTCTGGGTGAAGAACCTTTTTCTCATACCCAACCCAAACCCCCCCTGACACAACCTCAGGCCATTCCCTTCAGTTCTGTCACTGGTCACCACAGAGAAGAGACCAGTGCCTGCCCCTCCTCTTCCCCTGACAAGTCCCCTATCATAGTTGTAACTGTGATGAGGTGTCTCCTCAGTCTCCTCTTCTCCAAGCTGAACAGACCAAGTGACCTCAGCCACTCATATGGTTTCCCCTCAAGGCCCTTCATCATCTTCATTGCCCTCCTTCGGATCTTCTTTAACAGCTTAATATCTTTCTTACATTGCAGATCTGTTCTAAATTTAAAGAAGTTTGCTTTGCAGTTCCCTTCCATGGATACAATAGAATTCGTGTATTCAACAACTAGTATGAAGAAACTCGAATATTAAAAATGGAATTGTATTTATCTTATGGGAAACTATTTACCTTTTAAGACACTGTTCTAGAGTCACAAGAAATTTTTTAATTAATATATTTTTGTCTATTGTTTACGTACTAGTCAGTTCCATGCCAAGACAGCACTAAATCACAATACGAAGACCCCCTATAGACCTAGAATTTGCTGAATTTAAAGTATGTGAATATAGACAAAAATCACAGTTCAAACAGAATTCAAAGTAAGTTAAAGTTAGATATAAGATTTATCATCATAAACCCTGCTGAAATCTGCGTAAGTCAAATGGGGACACTACCAAATCAAATCAACTTTTCAAATTAAATATCAGTTTTTGAGATTAAACTTGAAATGTAACTTGAAAGAAATATTAAACCAGAAGACAGGGAAAACAATAACCTGCCAGCTTTATGATATTAATCTTGAAGAAATATATGAAGGTCATTAAGGGAATAAGATGTTTGATAGCCATGCAATACTTCCCCCTCCAAGAGTTACATAAATGTCTTTGTAGCTAGTGATAAAGAACAATTCTGATCTTTGCTGGCCCCTGGCTTGGTCACAGATTTGTATTTGTTACAATTATCACATGATGCACCAACGTGATGTGTGCACTAAATGTATTCCTTAACAATGCAAGAAGTGTAGATACATGGAGACTCATGTAAGAATATTAAAATGATCTCACAAGCAGGCCCTAATTCTCATTCCCGTGAAGGAACAGTGCTCTAGTAATTTAAAAGGGCATTGAAGACCAAGGAAAATCAACTTTCAGGCATAATGTAAATAAAACATTTGCCTCTGTGTCTTTCTACTACCTCTCATTCCAGCAAAATATTTCTCCCACAGTAATAAAGTAAATTAGGTTAAGTTTTAAAAATACAGAAGCTCTGTACTGCAGCCAAATTAAACTATTCCAAAATACACTGCATTTGTAACTCATTTAACAGTCAGCAAGTTTGGCTGCTGACATTATAATTTGCTAATAATGCTTTTCAGTATTTTAGTCAGCCACCCAACTTGCAGTCCAATGATTTTTCTAACATATGTTGGGATTTTTTTTGAGTTTGCTTTGTTTTTCTTTAAGCAGAGAAAAAAGTGGTGACCTACTGACAGTGTTCTTCCTTCACTACAAAGTGAAAGATTAGGATTTAGCTGATGGCATGGGATGCTTTCTCCTAAGACCAGTGTAATGGAAACATTGCAGATGTTTCAAAATCCCACAGTAAGCATGTGTATCAGCATTACACTCCTCTTTCCTCCTTTACCAGTTAAAGATGGCCATAGAAAGGTTGTGAGAGAAATGCCACTAGCTCCTGCTGAGTCACGAAGACAGCACCCTCACTCTCAGTATCTTCTAAGTGTATGAAAGAATTTATATGTAGGTATCAGAACTGTATTTCCAACCCAGCCTCACACGGTCTGCCAGCTACGAGATGGATGAGACCCCACCACCCTGAAAAAGGTTCATCCAGTGCTATCACAGAAATGTTCCTCTGGGTAAAGCAACTACTGTTGTTGTGCAGTATATAAATACATATGTGCAGCAAAGACACAGAAACTTCTAAAACTCCTTTTCATTGACTCTATTAGTGTCATTTTAATTTTCAAGGAATGATGGAGGGGCAGATAAAAGTTGGTGTATTTCTAGCAACTTTCTTTCTGTTAAGATTACACTTCACTGTTTCAAATCATCAATACCTGTGAGAAAAAGGCTGTTCAATCAGATCAATGAGACAGCTGAGTTAAGTGTCTGCTCTAAGACTGAAGGTGTACAAACATTGATAAGTCACTTAGCTGTTACATTTTCAGGTAAATCATGAAATGAAAAGCACAGATACACTCAAGGAATATTTAAGTATCAAATGCTACTTCATAAAGGGCCTTGAAGGTGAAGAATCATGCAAAGTTTGTATTTACTATTAAAAAAAATAATCTCAGAATAAACCAAAATCTAAACAGATGAAAGACGTGGAGGGAAGAGACACAGAAAAAAGCCCTACTGAACTTCCCCTAGCCTTCTAGGAAAAAAGGTAGTAGGATTCAGTTTTATGATTCAGGACAGTGGACTTAATTCTAGATGTACTTTTTACCCCCATTTCTGTTTTTGTTTTGGACATAAGATTTAACATTCTCCTTGTCAAAGCCTGTAGAGAGGTATCATTTTTTTTAAAGGGAAATCACACTACTATTATTGCTGTAATTCAGTGTCTTCCTTGTTTTGTCTGATCCTTTCAGCACCATTTTACAAAGCGGGATTGGGAGTCACATTGAGCGTTACTGATCAGTAAAGCAAGTTCTATGTTCATTTATTTTAAATATGTGTCGTTACTCAATTTCCTTGGTCTGATGTCTTATTTTAGTATATTAATAGATATCATAAAAAAGTCAGTCTGCACTTCTCAGCAAGCAGAGCTCAGATCTGTATTATGGTGTTGGTGGTGGGTGAGGGCAGAGGGGAAACTGATCACATTTTAGGACAACTGTCTAATTTTATCTGTGTACAACTACTGTTTCAATTTCTAGCCACTTGAGACTGTGAGCAAATGCCCAAGTTTTGGTAAATTCAGTCCACTGAGGTCAAATGAGTTCCTTCATACTGAAAATTTTCCCTCACTTCCATGTGCTGATGAATCATTTTTTCCCAAAAATGGTCTGGAAGGAGGGAAAATAAACTATGACCCACAACACCGAAATTCCCCACTGTGACAGAAGTGCGACAAGTCCTTTAGTGACATGGAACATTTCCTCTGCCTCGGGCTCATCATCAAGAGCAGAGAGAACAGAAAAGCAAAACACTGAGTGCTAGAACAGACCTGTGGCATTGCTGCTGACCATAATGCCAATTAGACACATCATAACACACTCGAGTGTGTTCTCTGAAAACCCTAAATCACATAGCAACTATAAGAGTATGTATTTTTGCAATAGCAGTTCACATGAAATGTATATTTTTGGTCAAAGTCTAATTTAGACTTATGTTGCTACTGAGGACAGTTGAGTTTGTAGCCCTGCAATGTCCATACATCTTTTTGATTAGTGTGTTTTCATCAATGTACTATGTATTTATGATTTGTACCTTCATAATCTACTACACATCTCTTCTCAGAACATTTCTGACCAGACTGAACCTGTTTACAGATTTTGACTGTGTTACACACACGTGTACCACTTCATTTGATGTACGTGAAGGACAGAATACCACACGTACTACCATCTTTAATGAAATACTGCTTTTATTTTTTCCTCCTAGAAAATATATTAGTAGTGCAGGTATACATCTGATTACATAAAAATCTCAGAGGTTCTCATGGAATGTGAAAAGACAGAGCAGTTTCAGCACTGCCTGGGTCTCAGAATTTTAAACAAAGCATTTTCCTTAAATTGGCTCTACACTTTTTAAACTTAATAGTTTCAACTGAAATTATTTTATATAAATTTATTTTGAGTGGAATAAAGATACTCAAATATAAATGTATTTTCTAACTTGTTCCAGATGATCACATTCTTGCCTATAAATTTCATACAATTTCATACTTACTACTGTGCACAGTCAATCAGTTGATATTCGTTTGACCTCTCGAAGCATGCCTTTACGCCTTCATCATCCCAGAGCTTTTTTGCATGTTCAAAGAATTCCTGAAAATTGGAAATGCAACAAATAAGAAAACAACTCTCCACTTCTTCAATCCCCAATCTATATGTGTTCCCCCAACCTTAATGCTTTATGCTTTTGCAGAATGATAGATTACACCCTTACAGAAGAAAAGGCATTAGCATTTAATACTGTAATAAATTTTAATATTAATATTAATATTAATATTAATATTAATATTAATATTAATATTAATACATAATAATTTTACTGTAAGTACAAAAGCTACCTAGAAGCATGTTCACCTAATTTTTAACAGATTTTACACTTCTGTCATGAAAAAGGCATAAAAGTGAGGCAAAAAGCTGCTCAGCTTATAAACATTAGCTTCCTAGAGAAAGAGTCAGTTGTAACTTTAAAAAGATTGTGCAATTTTTCCTGAAAAACACAACTTTCCACTACTTGGTATTTTCTCATGCAGTATAATAATTTGATTGCAAGACTTTCAGAGTCTTTGCTCAACACCACTTCCTCCAAACAGCTGCCTGGCACAATGTGCTTTTCCTAGCAGCTATCCCAGGCAACCCAATCCAGAAATATCTGCCAGCAAGCCTGTTTCAGAATTATTTGAAAGAGGAATCAAAGCCGTCCTCAGTGACGGTGAAGCCATGGCTCTGTTGTATAAAATGCATACATGCAGAGAGGTAGGTCTGACCCCACCTGTCCAGCTCCTTCCTTCCTCCAGCCCCAGCCCTAGAGACTCGATGATCCAGCTTGTTTTAAAGCTGCGAGTCCATTTTATGTTATATCATTGCTGCTCAGTGAAACTGTCACTGAGTCTTTCCAGTTACATCGTTCTAAAAGCAAATGAAGGGTGGTTAGATAAATTAATATTTCCTTTATAACATGACTCTTTCCTCCCTCAAACCAAATTGTTAGAGTAATACATCAACTCAAACACAGAAGTTGTTTTCTTAACACCTCAACACTTCCAATAAATCACCAGAGCTCTTTGGTTAGTCACAAATTGCTTTTCCACAGTTCAATTTGGCAAAATGTGTCAAATGGGCATAATACCACTGTTCACTTCATGATCGTGTCAAAATTTTGCATAACATCTGAATTCTGAAACTTTCTGAAATGGCTTGACAGTCTCTCCCCACATCTTTTCAGGATTAAAAATTTCTCTCAGAAGACAACGCTCATAGTGAAAGACCTTGGCAGCACCATGAGTTCACTTTTACTCTGTATGGATTTCCCAACTTTGCATGCTACCCCTGTAAGGTGTCCCAAAAGGTGACACTTTGCTCATCAGCAACTGCCTGTGACCTGCTGGTGACATTTTCAGGGAGAGACAAAACACAAGATTTTCAGAACAAACTAGTACAGAATATTTAGTAAGGCTTTGAGCATAGCTACAGAGGTCCTGAATAACCCTAGAAATGCCTTTTTTTCCCCCAAGATTTATTGTACAAAATGTAGAGAGACAGAAAAAAATCCATTCTTTAAGAAGTTTTCAAAATGTTTGAGAAAAGATATTAAAGCAGGTGGGAAAAACCTTTGCAGAAAGTCTTGGAAGAAGAGAGGAAGTTACACTGGAGATTGGCAGATGCTTATATTGCCCTTGGAATTTATTTCTTCACTTGGTGAGGACATATTTATTTAGTCTTTGGTACTTTAATGACTTATGTAATGATTGTTTTAAACACTGCAGATCCACCTTTTGAAGTTATGCTACAGCTATTATAAACTCTCAGCAGAAGGAAAGCAAAAACAAGCTCAAGAAAGGACAAGATATCAAACTAAGTAAGAAAAAGGAAAGAGCAGACACACCTAACAGAGAAAGAAAGAACTGGAAAAGTCAAAATCAAAAATACCAGAAAGCATGGAACATTCTCAGACTTGATGTTTATGCTTGATTGATATTTAGGGCATCAGCTGAATGCATCTCATTGGCATCTTTGGTCAAAGAATGGCATTGCATTCTCAATGGAAAAAGGGAATTCTGGATAGGAGTCATGGTCCTGAGGCAAAAGGACCCAATTCCCCCCTCCCCTCCGATGGGTGCATGCACAGCAATGCACAACCTCAGCCCTTCCTCCCACTGGTACTTGCAGCTGCAGGTGCAGGGTCTGAGCTCTGCCTTCCCTTCCTCCCATTCAGTGGGTGAGAATTCCCACCCACTTGGAAAGCCATCTCTAAGGGGAACCTACATCTAAAAAATGGCCACATTCAGCCCCACACAGCCTACAGGAAGGGGAGAAGAGGAGGACGATGTCAGTGTGAAGGCAATTGCAGGGTGGGATGGTTTGAGAGACAGCTGCAAATGTAAGTAAGCAAGCAAACAAAGTTGCATAGCTACAGTAGTTTCTAACATCACTTTTGTTTTTATATGCTCTGAATGAGCTTTATTTACTCTTAAAAATATCTTCTGAAAAAGAGGCAATCTTTTCAGCTCAGCTTCTAAGACCCTACAAATATGTTGTAAATACAGGGTTTCCATATAATATGCTTCAAATATTTCCACCTGACCACTACATCTCAAAGCAGTCTATTTAAAATTACTTCCAGACTTCTAGTCCAAAGCAAATCCTATAAAACGGAGCAAATATACTTACCTCATTAAAATGTACCGATCTACTGCAGAGGAGTACACTTGCCTGCAAATTGCCTCCCACACAGCTACTCGATCCTTCCTTCCCAGGTGACTAAAGCCTTCCAGAAAAAATCCTGCTTCATTTCAAGACACCAAGTACCACGATCCAACTTTTCACAGTTGTTTTTAACCCCCTTCTCATCTGCCCTAAGTTCCTCGGGATTTTTTCTGCTCACCTGCAGAAGGTCCCCATTGCCAAGCACAGAGGAGGATTCTGCTCACACGTGCCAGACATGTTTGGACCCTTATCTCCTCTCCATCTCAAGACAATGTCCAGACAACAGTTGCCATGTCAGCTTCAACCTCTGCTACCAAGTCCCTTAGGCCTGACAGACCCTCCAACAACTGGTCCCCTCTCCTCAATCCCTATAGACCCCAATGCTTGTCACATCTTCCTCCTGCCAAGGCCACAACAAGGCCACCTTGCTGGCAAGCAGGCACTGGTGAGCTCACAAAGGTGTGGGCTTCAGGCTCTGCCTGCCCTGCAGCACCTGCTCTGGAGCTGCAGTATCCTCAGGGTGGCAGCCACAGCTGGCAATTCCTGTCAGGGGGAAGAGCCAGGGTAATTCAAAGGACAGAAAATTCATCTTTGCTACAACTGATAAAGGAAGATGGACTAAAACTTTTCAAAACATTACCTTAAGGTCAGGGCAACACAAATAAGGTTTTTAAGGGTAAGGCGTGACCTTAGTAGCTTACATTCTGAGATGGCCAAACTAAGACTTTCTTAAAGGTATGACTTCTGGAAAGCAGCTTTTCAGAAGTTCTTAGAAGTCAAGAGTCAGGTTCTTTAGGAAACCTCAACCGGGACAGGAGAAATCAGGGACACGGTAAATCATTCTGGTAATGTGATGCACTATATTCGCAAGCAGATGCACCTGACTTCTACTGGAACAAAGTCACCAAAATCGACTAAAAATATTTAGTATACTGACGAGAAACAGGAATAATGTACTGTGCCTGAAAGCAAAAAAACACATCATGACACACCTACCAACATAAACAAAACAGACCTGTTTCACCCAAACTTTTCCTTAGGTACAGAGGTATACAAATTAATTGTATGCCTGTTAATATGCACCAATTAATATACATCTAAAGTAAAACAATCAGTATTTCTTTATGTTGCATTTTAATTAGAACATTAAAGAAGTAAATGATAATGTCTCAGGTCTCACAAGTTACAGGTCTCATGAATTAAATTTTTACATTGGATGCGCTAATTTACACCATTTACCTAAGAATTTATAGTCATCACTAGACCATACAACACCTTGATGTGATACTTCGATCTGATCAAAATGAAAATGTGACACACAACATCTCCAATATTTACTAATATAAAATAACCTGGACATTTTCCACTCTTTCTGGGATGATCAAAAACCTCAGCCCTGCATTCCCAAGCTTCTTTCTCACTAGCAGATAATTTTTGCTATACATGAATATTCACATATCATGTAAAAATCATAAAGAACCATAAGCAGGTTAATAATTACTTTTTCCTTTTCAGAGAGAAATAAGCTAAGATGTGCATAAATGTAGAAAACCCTGAGCTGATATCACTCATATAAACAAAACTGTACTTTCATTACATTTTAAAAATATTTTCACTCACCTATTCCAAGGCAAAATTTCTGAGTTGAATATACTCCTATACAAAGCATTCCAAGAAAACACTACCGGTAACAAATGCAGATGTACTACAGCTAAGCCTCAAGGCACTGTTTTTCAACTTTGTCTTACTAGAAGTTACAGCATGTTCTCGAAATTCAATTTCCCTTATTTTGGGAATAAACTTATTTATCTGTAGGTTACCTTAGAAACCTCCTCCCCCTTATAACTCCCACAAAAAATTTTCAAGTAGCTAAAAAATGGACTTATTTCACTTTTCAGCTGCCTAAATTGGGAATAAATAGTAGGGATGATTAAACGATGACATATCTTCATGAACAAATCTTTATGTATTTTGGAAACAGAACTTTTCATCTAACTGTTTCACAGACCACAAAAGTTCATGTTAGGTCAGGAATACAATTTTTATTCTACTAAGATTCCTTTCTGTCTTCCTTCCAAGATGGAGCACACATTTAATACCTATCCTGATGCTACCTTTCAGTCTCCCAGAAACTGGGATGTGGAAGGTTCCACTGTATTTTCTACTCCACATTTCTTCTGTAAATATATTGTAAACCTGGAAACAAGAGTTTAGATCAATGTGAAGTTGATCTCCCTCAAGTCAAAATGTATGCTCTTATTCTCCTAAGCTTTGGAACTGTAAGACAATTTCTCATCTAAAAGACATATTAAACCTGTCTGGTTACCCAAAAACCACTTACAGAAGTGGCAAACGTTACACATTTTTATAGTTCTGCCATTGTGGGTGTG